GACACGATTTCGTAGTTGAAGCCGTGGCCAGTGGAACGTTTTGTGGTGTTTGGACCGCATGATGAACAATGCGACCCAAATGGGGGATGTTAAAACCCTCTAGGCCCCGTGCCGAAATTGGGTAGCTGTTCTGAGGTCCTTGTTGGTGTTGCTTCCCAAGTTCCATTGATCGCCATTTGGCTCAAGACACAATTGAGGTTCAAGATCTGATGTGTGACTGCATACATACGTGATCGGCATTGAGAGCGAAAACACTTTGCTTGCGCTGCATTTGTCAGGACCACTGTTGTAACTATCATTCCTTCTCCCTTACAACGTTTACACGGGTTCGGCTATAACGGCATCGTCCGTATACACCTTTCTACGTGGTTGGTATTGCAGCTTGAGGGTTCGGTGCATAGCGTCCCACGGGACGTCACCTTGCCGTCTCTTGACAGTTTCCATGTGGAGCCATCGGGTCTCAGTCTACTCTGCAAGCATTCATGAATCAAGGTCCCAAAAATACACAGGCGGCCTGCGCCTTCCTCCGGGAGCCCTCGCTTAGCGGTTTCAACACGGTCACCAATATTGTGCGGGTTCAGGCGCGGGCTGCTGAGCAGGGCAGCTCAGGCAGTCGCCCGCGAAGGCGCTGAAAAGACTCTGGTCCGCAGGCCGTATGGAGCAACCCATGGTCCGCAGCTTTATTAAGTGCACTTCTGCTCAGAGTTCCGTGCAGTATCGGCCCCGCCGATCTCACGGTACTCTGTTGCATAATTTCTCCAAATTTGTTGTGGAACTTATTTGCTCCTTAGGCTAGGAACACCCTCTTGTAGCCGTGTCGCTCTGTGATTGCCTGGGGGAAGGGCCGTATAGTACCGTGCCCCGCTCTCGCGGCCCGTCCTGCCATTCTGCCCACCCCAAACCCTAGTCGTATTGCCCCTTGCCTTAGCGGACGTGTGAACCTAGGTGGCCCATGAAAGGGCTTACCTTATCCCCGACATTAAATTCTCCTGAGATGCACCCGTGCTGGGAATTTGATGCTGGGGCGGAAGTGCCGTCCAGTACCGTGCACCGCTCGGTCTTCCGGCTCCCCTCCTGCCAATTGCCTTGCACCCCAAACCCTAACCATTAGGCAGCCTGCCACGGCCTTTGCAATTGGATCTGCGCCGCGCCAGGCCCCCGCAAGGTCTGGCTCTTGGAATCACTCGCTTGGCGTGACAAACTGATGGCTGGTAGTCTCAAGCTACTTCAGGACTACTGCCTACCATTACTCCCAAAACAGCAACTCCCCGATGGGCATTCGTGCCGGAAAAATCGAGTGCTGGGGCGGATGATCCGTGTAGTTCCGTGCCTTGCCCGGTCTCGCGGCCTCTCTACTGCCAACTGCCTTGCACCCCAAACCCTAACCTTTTGGTCGCTTGCCAATTGCTGTGCTATGGTAATTTGGAAAATGCGCCTGGCAGGCCGGCCATGTTGCCATCATGGGCTCATCGTCCGGCTGCTGCTGCCCTGCCTGCCATGCGTCATGCCTGATCTGGGCATCGGTCTATTGCGCACAGAGGCGCCTTTTGGCAGTTGGGCGCATCTTCAGGGAAGGGCCGCCGCTCTTCCCTTGCTGATGCCCCAGCACTCAGGCACCCCACCGACCGGCTGCACTGCTCCCTGCAGTGGACCTGGACCATGTGGTCTTGAGCCCCGCTCAGCCCATGGTCCCTTTCTTTTTGCCGTGCGGCCCTTGCAGTTGGCCCTCATGTGTGTTGACCAATGTGTGAGCACTCCTGTGTCGCTGCTGGGCTGCCTCGCTGGCTCGCAAATCGCGAAGTGTCCCTGCGGCTACAGGTGATGCTTGTGAGCCGGCTAATTCATGCATGCCTTTTGCTTGTCGCCCCGGTGGCATTTTTGGCCCTAATTCATGCACGGTCCTTGGCTAGTGTGTGTGGCCTTCTAGGTCGCTCCATTGCATATGCTCCTCTGCATCCATGTTCGGGGGTTAACGATGCGCAAATGTGCCCCCGGCAGAGTGTAGTGTGCTCCGCGAGTGGATCATGTGGTCTGTGCCCCGCTCAGCCACTTGGTTTTCTCCGCGCGTTGCCAATGCATTTGGTGTCTCCCTTTTTGCCCGAAATTTATTTCAACATGCACTCCCGCGTGCTGGCGAACTCACTTTCTGTTCTCGGTTTGGTTCTCGGTTTGGTTCGCGGTGGTTCTTGGCTGTCTTTGTTTCGGCTGTGTCTGTTTGTTTTTTGGCTTCTCTGTGGCCTGTTGTGTTTTCGCCGGCTTTTTCAAGCGACGTTTCACCATTTGTTTCAGCACTCTACCTTTGTGTATTTTAGCAGGTTTTTCACGACCGATGGCAATTGCCTCAAGGCCTCCTGGTTACAAAAAAATCCAAGCCAAACCTTGCCGCTTTCGGCGGAGGCTCCCTGTATACCTTTTTTCTCCAGGCTATTTCGTTGACCCTGTAGGAGCCCCTGCTTTCAATCGGCTTAACTCTGATTCTAACCATATTCCCGATCTTAATTTCCGGGCGGATCACTTTGTGTTTGGCCGCGCAATGTTGCGCAGAGCCAGGGTGCAGCTCTGCAAAGTAGGCATGGCCCCTGGTCATGCTTCTTAATGTTCCAGAAATCCATCAGCTTCTTAAACTCCCTCTTAAACTTGGAGCCGCGTCGAAGTACACGTTGGCCGGCACCCCTAGAGCTTAAACACCTTCTTTTTTCCCGCCGCAGTGATGGTCGCAAGACGGTCCTTCAGCGGCTTCCACTTTTTTGGTCAGCGTATGGCTGGTTCGTCTGCGGGCGTTAGCTATGTTTGTTATGCTTCTTTGGCCCGCTGGGCCTGCCAGGCTACCTTATCCAGCCGGTTCTGGAGGCCCCCCTTGCGCGCCTGGAAGCGACGCAAAGATACTCCCGGAGTTGGTTTTTAGCCCGAAAAACCCAGGCGCGGGCCTGGTGCGGGCCTGGTGCGGGGGCCTGGTGCGGACCCGGTGCGGGCCGGTGCGGGGCCTGGTACGGGCCTGGCGCGGGCTAGAAGCGCCTGTCCCAGCTTTCCGGAACCGAAGAAGGGAGAACGCAGCACAGTGATGTCCCCCAGCAGCCGGTCCAGGTGTGGTGCCAGCCACGTCTTGCTCCCAATGTACTTCAGCTGCATACCAGCCCTTTAGTTTATCCCGGAAAACTGGGGGAGCGCCCCGCGTACGGCGATGCGCTCCCTGTCTCGCCGCCCGGCTTCCCGGCTTCGAATTTGGCAAGTAAAAACAAAGGAATGGGAAAGATCAAGGTATTTCCCACACCAGAATACAGCAGCAAACATTCCTCGGACCCCGTGGTGCCCCTGGTCCCATGCACGGGGATTTTCCTCGGCCCCAGCAAGTCCGGCAAAACCGTGGCTCTGATCAGCCTCATCCGGAGCAGTACAGGGGCGTCTTCGAAAGGATCTACATCTTCAGTCCTTCGATTGGGATCGACGATGGCTGGGTCCCCGTCAAAAAGTACATCGAGGAGGACTTGGGGGTGAACACGGAGCGCGAGCAGGCCTACTGGGACGAGTGGGACGAGGCGGCGCGCGCCGCAGCGTAAGATCACCGAGGCGTCTAAGAAGTTGGAGATGAAGAAGCTGTACCAGATCCTGATAATAATTGACGACATGGCCGATGTGCCGCAGCTCCACAAGCCCCACGGCGCCCTTGACGCTCTTCATCCGAGGCCGTCACATGCAGATGAGCACCTGGGTGAGCTCCCAGAAGCTGAGGCTCATCAGCGCTGCCGTGCGGGTGAACATGCAATTCTGTGCAGCTGGAGGCTGCTGGACGAGGAGCTGAGCGCCCTGCTGGGCCCCTAAGTCCGCTAGGCCCCCTAAGTCCCTGGGTGCCCCGGGGTCTCGCTGTGCTCTCGAGGCCGCAGGGGTCAGTTACGGGCGCGTTCGCTTACGTCTGACATCCACGATAAAAAGAACGCAGTTTTAGAAGGGGCAAGAGTCCCCGCCCGTGCCGGGGTTCACCTGCAGGTCGCGGACCTCCACCAGGCCGCATTGCTTGCCCATGATCCAGACCTGCCAGGCCTCGACGCGGGCCTGGCACTCGCAGCCCGGGCCTTTGGATCTTGATGCCGTCTGTGTCTCAGAAGCGGACGTTCCGCGCGTCCAGTTTGCGCTTCAGGAAGGTCGCCCCCTGTCAGGACTCCTTGAGGCAGCTATGCCACCTGTCCTTCACATCGCCGTAGTCGCCCCAAATGCGGCTCGACCGCGAAGACAGCGCGTTAACGCACCTCTTCTCGAATTCCTCCCAGGCCTCGGAATCCCTTTCCTTTGCAAGGCAGGCGTTCTGCCTGGGCCGAAGCTGCTGGGCTCCCAAAGGACGTGAGTCCACGCGGACTGCCAGACGATGGCGCCCTTGGGGCTCGTCTGCACCTCGCCCAGGGCGACGCTAGTGGCGATGGTAGTCATCTTGACTCTTGCTTGCCGGTCCCTTTCCTATAGGGCGGACAACAAAATGGTCCGACCAAAGGGACGGCCCTGGCTCAAGCGGCTCGAGGGCCGCCCATTTCCGGACAAAAACACGTTTTTGTCTGTTTTTCCGTAAATTCAGTTTTGCATGGTTTTTGAGGGTGATTTTGCATGACAGGTTGCCGGTGTTGCGTTTTTCTCACGATTTTCACGTTGTCGGGCGTGTTTGGAAAAACCTTCCCCAAGCACGTGGGCCTTGTGAAGGCGAGATTCGGGGACACTCTTGGGTACGGGGCGGCAGGGAACCGCTCGCGGGTGCAAAGGCGTGGTTTCAGACTCACAGTTTTTCTTGACCTCACGTGCCCTGTGCCCAGACTTCGACGTGCAGATCTTCTCGCAGCGCCGCGAGTTGCCTTTTTGTCACTTTTTGTTGGCCGCTTGCAGGTGGATCCAATTCGTGCTACTGGGGACTCTTTGGCTGGGCACCTGTGCGGATTGGTGTCAACTCGGCCTTTGAGCAGTGTTTCAGGTTTGGTCCTGGATTTTGAAGGTCGTGTTTTCGCGCTTCCCCGTGCCAGGCTTTGTTTTGACATCGAGGCATACTGCCCGGGCCTTCGCTGCTTCCGTTGTCATGGCCATCAATGCCAACTGATCTTTGAGGTTTGGGTCCCAACTCGCCAATCTGTCAGGCCCCCTGATCTTTGGCCTAGCGAGGCCCGGACACCCCCCCCCGTCCCGTGCCAGGATTTGCGCGACTCGAAGACGTTCTGCCTGGGCCTTTTTGCTGATTGCGCCGTCAGTGTTGATGCGCGGATTTCAACTGAGCTTTCAGGGTTGGGCCCAACCTTGATCTCTTTGACCCGGTGAGGCCCGAGTGGTTTGCGTTGTTTTTTTGTGTGCTTTTCCCAACCCCGTCAAGCCGCGCCGTCAGGCCCGTGTATCTTTGGAAATCGTGACCTCGTTGAGCCAGGCCCGAATTTTGTATTGTCTCTCCAACCTGGTGAACCCTTGACCTTGAGAGCGATTGCCCCAACCCCGTCAAGTCGTACTGTCAGGTTTTTTGTAAGTCAGGCAGTGTGGTTTCCTCAAAATCGCATTTTTTTTCCTGGCGCTCAGGCACTCCGAACTTTTGAGCTTGCGCCTCGAGCTCCACGTTCCACCCGGGCCCTCGCCGCGTTCCATTGTCATGGCCAAGAGGTCCCGTGCAGGTTATTGTCATTTGATCTTTGTCACCAATCTGTCAGCCCCCTTGATCTTTGACCCAGTGAGGCCCTGACGGTCCGTCCCGAGGGTCCCTGGGGTCCCTAGGGTCCCTGGGGTCCCTGGGGTCCCTGGGTCCCTGGGCACGCGGGCGTCCGCTGCAGGTGCCATGAAACAACGTCCTTCCATCAAGACGTCGCGCCAGGGTCCCAAAGTGCATCCATCCTTGTCAACACACGGCGTTTTCAGGGATTTTAGGGACCCCAGAAACCTTACGGACCCTAGGGACCTCAGGGACCCTAAGGGACCTTAGGGACCCCAGGCACCTTAGGGACCCCAGCAACGCTGGGTCTTGGGGGCAAGAGATCCTGTGAAGTGTGAAGTCATCTCTCAAGCTTCGGTTGGTTGCAGCTTGCCACGCAAGGGGACACAAAGACGCGCGGAAGGGCAAAGCTTCTGTTGTTTTTCCATTCGAGCAACTTGCCATACATCTATTTATCTTCGTGTACTCATATTTATTTTCATACATTTATATCTTCATATCTCTACCTATGTGTATCTCTTTATGAATTTTCATACATTTATATCTTTGTATTTCTACAAATTCATATCTTTATATCTTTGTATCTTTATACCTTTTTCTTTATATCTTTATATGTTTATGTCTTTGTGCCTTTATGTTGGTATGTCTCTACATGGTGTTTTCTACATCCGTGTTTGTAGTCGGGAGATGATGTTGTGGTGTTGTGGCCCATTTGCAATGTGTGTGTGTGTGTGTGTGTGTCTTGGCTTCGGCATTTTGTGTTTTTGCATGACCCTATGATGCTGGAGAATGCCCAGGCTGAGTGGTACCCGGCGTGAAGTTCTTGCCAAGATCCCTTCAAGCCCCAAAATCCTTGGGGCCACCAAGGATCTCTTGAAGTCCCTGGGTCGCTGGGTCCCTGAAGTCCTCGGAGTCCCTAGGGTCCCTAGGGTAGGGTTTGCAGGGTTGCTAGGGTCCCTAAGGTCCCTAAGGTCCCTAAGGTCCCTAAGGTCCCTAAGGTCCCTAAGGTCCCTAAGGTCCCTAAGGTCCCTAAGGTCCCTAAGGTCCCTAAGGTCCCTAAGGTCCCTAAGGTCCCTAAGGTCCCTAAGGTCCCCAAGGTCCCTGAACCCGCCGTGCGTTGACAGGGATGAGCGCACTCTGGGGCCTTGGCGAGACGTCTGATGCACACGTGTGCAGGGACCCCAGGTAAGGGACCTTAGGGAGCTTAGGGACCCTAGGGAATGTAGGGACCCTAGGGACCCAGGGACCCCAGAGGCCCCAGTGATCCCTGGGACCAGGGACCCCAGAAACCCCCGCCCTTCAGGCCCTGGCGGCCCGGTGCCGATTTCGGCTGCTTGTTTTGCAGGCAGGCCAGTTTGGTATCTCGCTTGGACTTTGATGCAGCGGCAGGATGTGGGTGAGCCATGACGGATGGACGCTGCGAAGCCTTGCAAGGCTTGTCCCGACCGACCTTCAGGCCGCGAGTGAAAAGGAGGAGGAGCATCCAAACCCGTGCGTTGGTGTTGCCAAAGAAGCCAGTCAATCTTGTGTTTGCTCTGGAAACTTGGCTCGAGGGTACTCATCAACACTGACACAACAACAGCTCGCAATGGTTGCCCGATGGGTCTAGTGCCAGTGCTTGAGGAATCGCAGGCCGCTCAAGCGCTTTTCGAATAGCCATGGCGATGATGCGGACCAGGACCAAAAGCCGAGGCTGGCAAGCTTGTGACGCTACCGTGCCCGCGGTAGGCAGCGGCCAGGTATGTGCCTCTGCCTTCTCGGGATTGCATTGGCGCTGCTCGTGCAGCCGAGCACGGCCTGGGTCTTGGGACACATTTTTTTCGAAGGTTTTCGGGTTTCAGGAGTCCCTTGTCGCCGCCGCCCAGGACTTTGCTCGAGGAGTTCCTGGGCTGAAGGAGCATGATGTCCCTCCTTTGGATGTTCTTGTTTCGTGCTGAGTGCCAGGACAGCATATTGGCCCAGTTCTCAGAGTTGCCCGCAGGCGCAAGCAGATTGCACTTTGGCTCTTTCAGGCAAAACGGCACCCGTTGCATGCCGGAGTCGCTCGGCGCGCCGGGGCTGCGCAAGAGGACTCCTCCGACCCGAAGCCTGTAGGCATCTTTTGCCGGTTGCCGCCAGGACAACAGTGGCCAGGCCTGGGGGACACGTGCATCGGGCTTGAACGTTGGGCTTGTTGGTTGTCAGGACCGGCTCGATCTCGAGGAGGCGGCGGACCTTCAGAGAAAGCGACGTCCCAGCTTGGCCTCGCTCAGGTGGTCGCAGAAGCCGACAGGGTGCTGGAGGACAACGGCACGGCGAAAGAGACCAAAGCCGTCTTGCGCCGCTGGAGCAGCACGTGGGTCGGGGTTGCAAGAGCGGTGAAAGTGTTGAGCTCAGGAAAAGCGCAGAAGATATATCCAGGGAAGTGGACCCTTTCAGGGCTGAAAGACGAGTTGCAACAAAAACTGCGCGAGTTTGTGGAGGAGGCAGGACTGTTTGCTTCTTTTGCCAAAAGGTGAGTTCACATGTCGTGGCATTCTTTGTGACATAGGCCAAAGCAGCCTCAAAGGGCTTGAAAGAGGCCGTCTGTTTGTGCGCGCTGCTTCGGCGTGTGAGTCGAGCTGGGCAGGACCTGGTCCTGGCGCGACAGCAGCAAGCGAGCGCCCAGCGGCAGGTTGAGACTGCCCAGCAGCAGGTGGAGATGGTGATGAAGAGTCTGGTTAAAGCCGCCGCCAGATTGGAGAAGGCGGAGGAATCAGGCACCAAGGAGGAGGTCAAGGAGGCCAAGGAGGAGGTCAAGGAGGCCAAGGAGGAGGTCAAGGAGGCCAAGGCGGAGAAGAAGGTGGAGAAGGCGGAGAGGAAGGTGGAGAGGGCGAAGAAGGAGGTCAAGGAGGCGAAGGCAAGCGGCCGGACGAAGGAGTCCGAGGCGGGCGGAGTCGGTCGCTTCCGCCGGCCGGCTGCGTTCTGGGACTCTGATCGTTGCGTGCGGTTCTGAAATTCCCCGCGCGGCCCGCACATGGTTTTGGTGGGGCTGCCCTGATCGCATCCAGAGAACCAGGAAATCCCAAGATAGCATTTTTGCAGATTGCGGCGGTTCGTGTCGTTGGCAGGCTCGGTATGGAGCCCCCATGAACGGATGGTTGCCTTTCCTTGTTGGAGGTCGGTCATTCCTGCCGGTCGACATTGATTGAGACGTGCCGTTGATCGTTGTGAGTGATTTTGCGCTTGCCCCCAGCCTGCTTTTGAAAGAGCAAGACCTGCCCGTCTGCCGGGAAGAGGGAGGGCAAACTCTGATGTCTTTGCACCCATTGGGGCCCTTGCTGCTGCAGGCACAAGTGCATTCTATGAATGTTCTCTTTGATGCAGTGAGCTCAACCATTCCCGGCTTTGCATCCACTCGCAGTGTTCTTGCTCGATTGGAGCCCCACGAATGGATGGTTGAGGTCATGCATCCCCAGCTTTGTGTCCATGCTGGATTGTGCTGTTTTACTTGTTGTTCCAGTCGTTGATGCTCGATTCTCGAACAGCTCATGCGTCATCTTTTCCTGTCTTGTCCGTCGTATGCCGTGCAGGCAAGCGGGATCAAGGACGGCTTGTGTCATGGCTCGCGTCCCGTGTGTGCTCGCGGCTGCAGGACGACCCAGATGCCACGGCGTTCATCCAGGAGCTGGTCAACGCCAAGCCCAAGGACCTCGGCGAAGGCCGGCAGGACGGCGGGATGCCAGTTTTGCTTTTCTTGCTGAAGCCACACTGAGGCGTGCAGGTCTTCGACCTCAAGACGTGCCTGCCCGCAGAGCCCTACGACCTGAGCGGGAGGAAGCTGCTGACGCGGAACACGACGCGCCAGGCCTGGCAGGCCACCTTCGAGCTGATGAAGGACGGCACGAGGCGCGTGGCCATGCTGGGCACCCCCGGCATCGGCAAGAGCAGGTCCCTGGCGCTGGGCCTGTGGCACCTGGTGTCGGGCCACCGCCCGGACTGGATCAAGGAGCCCGAGGCCATCGTCTTCGAGGCCCGGGAGGGCCTCAAGGTCTTCATTTTCAGCAAGAACGAGGACGGCCGCTGGAAAGGGCACAGCCTGCCGATTGGCAAGTGGGATGCAAGCGACTGCGAGCACCTGCAGAACAGCGACAATTGGTATTTAGTGGATACCTACGGCAAGGAGACCACGGGGAAGCTGCCGGCCAAGACGGTCAAGGCCTGCAGCCCGGACAGAGAGCACTACACAGATTTTGTGAAGAGCGGTGGGGCTTGTGTGTACGTAGAACAATGGAAGAAGGCTGAGCTGGAACTGGCCTATGTGCATTTTGCACAGCCTCCGGTCGACAAGGACACGGTGTTGCGCAGGTTTCAATATGTTGGAGGCAACCTGCGTGCCCTGTTGGACGACAATGGAGGCTTCCGCAAGTACCTTCAGGATCAATATAATCAAGCTGACGATTGGAAGGGCTTGCAGCCTGCTTTTGGCGGTGTTCTCGACAACCAAGGCAACAAGCTGTTGACGAGGCTCTTCACGTACGTCACCGTGGACGGCAAAATTGGCACGGCCCAAGTTGTCTCCCCCAAGGCCGCAGAGGTGATAGCAGATAAGCACTATGACAAGCTTGCTGACCTCTGGACCAAGAACGATCCACGTGCCAGGTACTGGTTTGAAGACTTCCTTGGACCCCTTCTGACCTGCTCGTGGTTTCCGAAGAAGTTTGACGCCTACCACATCACTGACAAGAGTTCGCAAGGCAAAGCCAACTGGGAACGGACTCCGTGCAACTCTTTGGTTATTGACGCGGGTTTGCAGCTGCTGAGGTGCGACACTAAGGACATATTCGAGCGAAAATGGAGCCAGGCCGTGAAGAACGGCAGCCTTGATAAATGCCTTCTGCAAAGCCCGGAACGGTACGCAGGCGTCGATTACTTGCTAGGCTTGAATCATGGCATCTTCGCGACAACTGGTCCCAAGCACAGCATCGCAAAGAGCTTTCTAGACACGCTGCGGGACATTTTCCAACACTGCAAGGGACAGTACAGTTTCACTCTCTCTTGTTTCACTACGGGAGACCCCGCAAATTTCGCCCCCAAGTCAGGAGAGGAGTTCAGAGCCTTCATGGAGATGGCGCAGGGGCGAGACAAAGTGTTTAAGAATGTGCATGTACAGGTGGTGCAGGTTCCGAAGACGCGAAACAGCATGGAGAAAGTTTAAAAGATGCGGAGTGTGCTGTAGGGCATGTGGCGTCCAAAACAAGATCTCAGGCATGGGAGCGTGGGCTGGTATGGGATCGTTTTTGTTGGTCGGTTGCTCAGGTTGCACTCAATGCCATGTCGCAGGAGTTCAGAAGCTCGTATGCGGATGCAGCCCCCTACTTCAATCAGCCAGAAGTGGCTTTGGCGTTGGTTCTTTGCTCGGCGGTTCGATGGCCTGCAGAAGGCCGCCAGCTTGTGCCCGGAACCTCACTGAGGTGGTCAGACATCTTCAGGGCCGGAGCAGCATTTCCAAACAACAAGTCTGTACTGGTTCCACGGCTGTGGTGGTGTGAGGATACCAATATCAAAGATGCCATCCGAAACGATTTGAAAGAGCTGAACATTGACCTGGAGGGGCTCCTGCCAGATTCTTTGCAGTTGCTCAACAGCCCAACAAGGGGTGCCACTGAAAGGGGGAGAAGTGGGAAGAGCTGGTTGCAAGCTCCCTGGCAGCGCGGTTCCGCCTTCACTGCATAGCAAGAAACCTGAGTGCTGAAGTCACCTGGATCCCTTTTTTGGAGATCTACCCTACGGAGGATCCACATTTACGAGCTGTTTTGGAGCCGTTCGAAGTTTGCTGGAGTGATGGTGTGGAATATCCAAGCGGCCAAGGCAATGAAGCAACTGTCATGAGTGACGGAGTGACGTTGGGAAGGCCATCAAGTCCAACCGAAATTTTGCAACGGCTCACCACGACCTTTTGATCCCTGTGAGATGCAAGGCAACTGGTAAGCTCGAGTTCATTGCTGCGCAATGTCGTTATGGAAAGAAAAAGGATGCAGGCAAGGAAAACTTTGCAGTGAGTCTGAAGGCTGGCAGTCCTTTACAAACGAGACATGGGCCAGACGTCAGGAGGAGAAGAAATACTCTCTCATGAGTTGCGAGACCATCATTGCGCAGCTGGATGTGCTGAAACTTTTGTGAGTGTACAAAAATCGCGCTAGCAGGTGGGAGCAGGGCGGACTTAAGGTCACAACAGGCTTCACATGTTCCATGGGTGTCAGGCTTGCATCCACAAACTGAATGGCCGTTTTGGGCGGGGTCCAGGGATCGCTCTAAGGTCGAGATTCGCAAAGTCGTGTTTGGGCTAAAACTTCTCTCCACAAGCTAAGGCATGTTGCTTCCGTCAAGTCTGCTCAAGAAGGTCAGCGGCCCGAATCGCTTCTGGGCCGCCTGAGGAAGTCGCCCAGCTGCCTCACAGCAGCTGGCCTGCCGCGCCTCGTCAGCCGCGCCGCCGCGTTGCCGCTGCCCTGCGGCGCCGGCAGGGCCAGCTTCAGCAGGGTCTCCCGGCCCTCGGTGCTCCGCACGGTCATGGAGTCCACGGCCGCCAGCCGCTGCACGTCGCCGTACTGGGGGTTGAAGCTCCTGGCCGCGTTGGTGGGCGCCCGAAACGCCCCCACGTCCTCCAAAGCCTTCATGCGCCGGTTCGTCAAGTCCTTGTTGTGCTGGAACCTGTCGGCGTTGTCTTGCAACACCCTGAACTCGGTGGCCGGCTGTTTCTCGACGTTCTCCGGGGCGCCGTGCACCGTCCCGTGGGGGCGCGCGTTGTAGGCCGACGCGGCCTGCTTGAGTTGGTCGCTCCACTGGCCGCCTCTGCGGGCCACCCTGGTAGCTTGGTGCGGTGCACCGCCTCATCGGGCAGCTCCCGGTCCAGCGTGGCAAACTCGTTGCCCAGGTCCGTCGTGACCACGAAGTTCTCGTCGTCCCCTTGTGGCCCGGCCGACCGCTTCGGCGTTCTTGTTCTGTAGAGGCTCCGCAGCAGCCTCCCGGGTGAAGACGTCCATGACCACCAGGCCGTACTTCGTCTTCCCCCGCGTGTTCTGGCTGAAGTCGATGAGGTCCGCCTGCAGCCGGTCGTTCGGCCCCTCCACAGCCCACGCCCGTGGCCGGGGCGCCTGCACCTGCCGGCCCACGTTGGCCTTGAGCGCCTTGAAGGCCATGGCCTGCGTCACGTCGAGGTCTTGCTGCCTCGCAAGGCGATACAGCTTACGGGGGTCCCGCACGTTGAAGTCGTCGGCAAGATCCCTCAGCGCCTCCATGTTTACTTGTTCTTCGGCCCCCGCTGGGCCTGCCAGGCTTCCACCTCGTCCAGCCTGGCCTGGAAGCCCTTGCGCAAGGAGTGTGGAGCACGGCGCGCCTGGACTTCTCGGTGCCCCCGGGCGGAGTCGCAAAGCTGCACTTCGGGGCCTTCGGCGGGTCGATCCCCGGGCTGGCGCAGCAGTCGGCGGGCACGCTGGACCTGTACAGCCTGCAGATCAGGGCCACTGCCTTCGAGGGAGAGTCGGTCTCCGTGACGGACCTGCTGGCCGACTCGCTGGCCCTCACGGGCTCGGCCACGCTGGACGGGCTCACCGCGCAGGGCAACGTGGGCTGCGACCAGCTGCTGCGCAACGACGTGAACTGCACGGACGTGATCACGACGGGCGTGGACGCCTCGGGCGTCCAGCTCGCCACCCGGCGCCGTCTTGGGCAGCTCACTGTCGTCCACCGGCGCCATCTCGGGCAGTTCGCTGAGCATCACTGGGGTGGCCAGTGTGGGCCTGCTGAGCTCGGCCACCGGGATCACTCACCATCAACAACACGGCCAACGCTGGGAACTTCACCACGGTCGGGGACGTGTCCACGGGCACCCTGACTGCCTCCGGCGCAGCGACGGCGGCGAGCTTCGCAGCCACCGGGTCGCTCACGGGCCGGCCTCCGCGGGCCCGCTGGACTGCGAGAGCCTGGACTGCACCTTCACGGCCGCGAGCGGGGGAGTGTCGACGGGCAGCGTGGTCTGCGGCAACGTGACGAGCTCTGGCACGGTCTCCGCCCCGCAGCTCTTCGCGTCCAACACGCTCACCGTGACCAACACCTCCGACTTCTCGGACGACCTCACTTTGACGAAGAACTGGGCGGGCTGGAGCAAGGTGCAGATTTCCAACAACTCCGACAGCGGCCCGGAGCTGCAGCTGCTGGGCAACCAGAGCGCGCGGGTTTTCCTGAGCGAGACGGCGGGGCGCACCAGTGCAAGCTCATCATGATCAACGACGAGGCGCTGGTGCAGACGAAGAGCCTCTCGACGCAGCTGTCCCTCACCACGAACCAGAAGAACCCCGGCTGCCTGGTGATCGCCGGCAACACGGGCAACGTGGTCTGCAACACCACCTTCACCAACTTGTCGGACAGCCGGGTGAAGACGGAGATGGCCGAGGCCGACTGGGGGAGCTCCTGCAGCTCTTCGACTCCGAAGGCCAAGCAGTACAAGCGCCCCGACATGAACGGAAGTGGAAGAACCTGACGGAGCAGATGGTGCCGGTGACGCCCACGTAGTCGTTGTCGGCCGCGCTGACGTACATCACCAAGTTAGAGGCCGTGCCCAGCCGGTACCGGCAGCCAAAGGAGTAGCGTCTCCCGGGCGTGAGGGTGTAGGTGCGCACGATGTTCCAGGCAAAGGCGCTCAGGGTCATGGCGTAGCTCTCCAGCTCGAAGCCTCCCACCGTGAAGCTTGCAGAGGCCACGGAGCTCTGGCTGTTGGAGCGCACCAAAAAATTCCCCAGCGTGGTCAGGGTGGGCTCCCCCCCAGGGTGGCCAGCGTGACGTCGTCGGCTCCGCCGTCGAGGAACTCGTGCTTCAGCAGCAGGGCCGAGGTCGTCGTGTCTGCCTCGACCTCCGTCGAGTTGCCGGCCTCCAGGGTTGCGTCCAGGATCTGGAGGCCGCAGACGTCCACCGTTCCTGCCTTCTGGTTGGGCAGGCCCGGTGCCTGGAAGTGTGCCGCAAAGTGCATCTTTGCAATCCAGTTCGAAGTACATCTTGGCCGTGTCTGCCTCGGACATGTGCACCACGAAGTTGGAGGCCGTGCCGAGCCGATACCGGCAGGCGAAGAGGAGCTCCCAGCCGGGCGTCAGTTGGTGCGCACGATGTTCCACGGGTTCACTGCCAGGGTCAGAGTGTAGCCGTCCACGCTCACTTCCCCCCACGGTGTGGGTGGCCAGGACCACGCTGCACCCGCTGCTGAGACGAACAGTTTGCCAGGGATCTGCTCCGCGATGGCAGCCATCACCTCGTCGGCCCCTCCGTCGTCCGGAGAGGCTGCCTCCGTGACTCCCGGTTAGGAGGCCGTCCGGCTGCGATGCTCGAGGCCGTTGCCATGTGCTGGTCGGCACGCCACCAGCGCCGAGGTGATCTGGTTGCCTCGTGAACACAGCGCGCCCGCGATGGCTGCCTGCGTCTGCGTGTCCTGCGCGCTTGCCGTCCGGTAGTCGGCCAACAGTGCGTCCACTTGTGCTGAGGTGTAGTAGGCCAGCAGCGCAGCTGCGAGGGCCTGCGCCGTCCCCGTTCGGTAGTCGACCAACAGAGCGTCCACTTGCGCCGAGGTGTAGTAGGCGAGCAGCGCAGCTGCGAGGGCCGCGTCCGCTGCTGCAATGGAGTAGCAGTCGGCCGTGATGCTCACAGCGTGTCGTCGCCGGTGGCCAGCGCAGCAGAGAGAGGAGCCTCCAAATGCAGGTTGCGAACGACGTTGCTTCCGCGAACAAGCTCCCAAGTCGTGAACCCCGCCCAGGCCGGCGCGTTAACACCTCCGCCTCCGGAAAGCTGCAGGGCGGCGAGGTCCGCGAGGATTGCGTCGAGGGCGCTCTGGAGCGCGGTCTTGCTGGCTGAGAGCGCAGCGTTCGTGGCGTACGAGGCCAGCAGCGTCGCGTCGGCCTTGGCGCCCTGGAGCGCTGAGATGCTGGCATCCCGGCTAGCAAGCTGCGCTGCGACGAAGGCCTCGGTGGCGAGACCCAGCAGGGCATTTGCTATCTTGGTGTCTACCTCCAGTGGTGTGTCCAACCCGTCCACCGTGGAAAGCAGGGCGGCCAGCGCGCTTGCGTCCGCCCCCGACGAGGGCGGCGTCGAGGGCTGCCGTGGTGACTGCGTCAAGGAGGGCTGCTGTGATCTTCGAGTCCACCTCCGAGGAAGTGTCGACGGCCGACTGCAGGGCGTACGCAGTCAGGGCGCTGGCGTCCGCCTTGGAGGCAGGACCTGCTCCTGGCGCGGCAGCAGCTGAAGCTTGCGCTCGCGCAGCAAGAAGCTGCCCAGGAGCAGGAAGTTAAAGCCGTCGCCAGATTGGAGAAATCAGGCACCAAGGAGGAGGTGGAGAAGGCGGAGAGGAAGGTGGAGAAGGCGGAAAGGAAGGTGGAGAAGGCGGAAAGGAAGGTGGAGAGGGCGAAGAAGGAGGTCAAGGAGGCAAAGGCAAGCGGCCGGACGAAGGAGTCCGAGGCGGGCGGAGTCGGTCGCTTCCGCCGGCCGGCTGCGTTCTGGGACTCTGATCGTTGCGTGCGGTTCTGAAATTCCCCGCGCGGCCCGCACATGGTTTTGGTGGGGCTGCCCTGATCGCATCCAGAGAACCAGGAAATCCCAAGATAGCATTTTTGCAGATTGCAGCGGTTCGTGTCGTTGGCAGGCTTGGTATGGAGCCCCCATGAACGGATGGTTGCCTTTCCTTGTTGGAGGTCGGTTATTCCTGCTGGTCGACATTGATTGAGACGTGCCGTTGATCGTTGTGAGTGATTTTGCGCTTGCCCCCAGCCTGCTTTTGAAAGAGCAAGACCTGCCCGTCTGCCGGGGAGAGGGAGGGCAAACTCTGATGTCTTTGCACCCATTGGGGCCCTTGCTGCTGCAGGCACAAGTGCATTTTGCGAATGTTCTCTTTGATGCAGTGAGCTCAACCATTCCCGGCTTTGCATCCACTGGCAGTGTTCTTGCTCGATGGTTTGGCCCGTTTTGCTGCCATTCCCTTCTATTGTTCAATTTTTGATGTACCCGCTCATATTTGCCTAATTTGGTGTGAGTGGTTAGTGGACAGTTGAGGGGGAACCCGCAAATATTGAAGAGCCTGCTGTTCCAGTCGCCTGCCTTTTGAAGAGCAAGACCTACCCTTCTGCCATGGTCGTTACTGCTGCAGACACAATGCAATCCGAAGGTTAAATTTTGTTCCGACAGCACGAGCATGGAGGAGATTGCTAAAGTGTGCACAATGTATTTCTGCTGTGATCGCATCCACAGAACCATGAAATCCCAAGATCGCGTTTGGGCACAGCGCAGCGCATTTTTGGCTTCAGCTGGCTGCATTGTTGGTGCATGATGCGACTCACTGTGGAGCCCCACGAATGGATGGTTGAGGTCATGCATCCCCAGCTTTGTGTCCATGTGGATTGTGCTGTTTTACTTGTTGTTCCAGTCGTTGATGCTCGATTCTCGAACAGCTCATGCGTCATCTTTTCCTGTCTTGTCCGTCGTATGCCGTGCAGGCAAGCGGGATCAAGGACGGCTTGTGTCATGGCTCGCGTCCCGTGTGTGCTCGCGGCTGCAGGACGACCCAGATGCCACGGCGTTCATCCAGGAGCTGGTCAACGCCAAGCCCAAGGACCTTGGCAAAGGCCGGCAGGACGGCGGGATGCCAGTTTTGCTTTTCTTGCTGAAGCCACACTGAGGCGCGCAGGTCTTCGACCTCAAGGAGTGCCTGCCCGCCAGGCCCTACGACCTGAGTGGGAGGAAGCTGCTGACGCGGAACACGACGCGCCAGGCCTGGAAGGCCACCTTCGAGCTGATGAAGGACGGCGCGGAGCGTGTGGCCATGCTGGGGATCCCCGGCATCGGCAAGAGCCGGTCCCTGGCGCTGGGCCTGTGGCACCTGGTGTCGGGCCAGGGCCGCCCGGAATGGATCGAGGAGCCCGAGGCCATCGTCTTCGAGGCATGGGAGGGCGGCTTCGTTTTCGTCTTCACCAAGGACAAGGACGGCCGTTGGAAGGCGCAGAGCCAGCCGATTGAGGACTGGAAGCCGAGCAGATGCGAGCACCTGCAGAACAGCAACAACTGGTACCTCGTGGACGCCTCGGACAAGCACCCCACGTATAAGCTGCCTGCGAAGACGGTGAAGGCCTGCAGCCCCGACAGGGAACACTACTCCAACTTCATCAAAGATGGTGGACAATGTCTCTATGTGGAGGCATGGCAAAAGGGGGAGCTGAAGGTGGCCTATCCGTGTTTCGAGGATGTGAAAGTGAGTGAGAGGAGTTTGCTTGATAGATTCGAGCAGGTTGGAGGCACCCTTCGCACCCTTTTGGCCAAAGAAGGCCCTTATGAGGATGCCGTGAAGCAGCAGAAGACCGACGCGAAGGACTTCGCAACAGTGCGACGCGCCTTGGGTGGAGATTTGGACAGCATTGGGACGAAGCTGCCAAGCAGGCTCTTCACATTCCGTGCCGAAAATGGGATCTCTTGCACTGTCGCTGTATGCTCCCCAAAAGCTAGAGAGCTTCTTGCACAGGAGCACTATGCCGAGCTTGTGAATTTGTGGAAGGACGAAAGTGACCCAAAATCAAGATATTGGCTGGAAGAATTTGTTGGGGTTTGGCTGACCACATCATGGTGTGACAAGCGGCTTGAGCCCTGGATGATAACGTATGCAGGCAAGTGGGAGCACAAGAAGGGCAAAGATCTGGTAGTGCCTGCTTTGAAATTGCTGCATTGTGATTTCAACGACATTTTCAACAGCAGAGAAATGCCTTGTGCACAGCCCAGAACGGTACCCAGGCATCGACTACCTGCTCGACTTCAACCACGGCATCTCTGTGACACTCTCTCCGAAGCACAGCATCGCAGAAGGGTTTGCGAAGAGGTTGCGCGACATTTTCAAAGATTGCAAGGGACAACACAGTTTCACCCTCACTTTTTTGGTTCCGGGAGCTCCGAGCAAATTCGTCCCGAAGAAAAGTGCAGAGTTTAACCGCTTAATGGCCTTGGCGCAAGGGCCAGACAGAGTGTTCCAGAATGTGTATGTACAGGCCGTGCAAATTCCGAAGACGCTAGACAGCCTGTCAGAAGCCTGACATCCTGAAGACAGTGCGAAATGTGTTGATTAGCATGGGGCGGCTGTGTTCGGATCAGTGTTCTTTGTTTATGGTTGGGCAGGGAGAAACCTTTGAGTACAGCAAGTCTGGCCTTTTTGCGACCGCCGACTCTGACCCCAAGGCGTTCTTAATCGATGGACCTGGGCAGTAGACGCAGCGCTCCAGGTTGATCTTCGACGTGATCATTTGCTTTCTTGCCATTTTCGATGCGGTTCTTTGGAACCACGCCGGTCTGGTTACCCGGAGGCCGTCCAGAAACGCCTTCACTTCCTCTCTGAAGATGCTGGGGTCGCGGGACTGAGCCTGCTGCAGCGTCTGCGCGATGCTGCCAAAGCCGGTGCGGGGATCCTCGTAGACAGCCTTGATGGTTCGTCTGCGGGCGTCAGCCATGTTTCTTATCGGCCCTTGCTGAACACCTCGTCCAGCCGGGCCTGGAAGTCCCCAGAGTCCTCGAATGCGTTCCAGGATGCTGTTAGCTGGTACGACACGCGGCGCAGGCCTCGCAGCCTGTTTCTACGTGTGCGCGGCTGTCCCGGTATTGCGGTCTCCAAGGACACCACCCACTCCCGCTCCGGGTCGTAGAAGTACGTCTTGTCGCTGAGTTCCATGATGGGCGCCCTGCCGGCGGCGCGGTCCTCGTCCCCCGCAGCAGACGTTTTGCAGTATTTGCTGCTCCGACAGCCTGTCGGGCTGCCGGCTGGCCTCCCCACACAAGCCAGGACCTCGGCAGGCTGTCGCGTTACGAGCAAGGTCCTCGGCAGGCTGTCGTGCCACGGAAAACCCTGCGCAGAACGAAGTCCTCCTCCGGAACTCGGGCCGCTTTTGCGCACTTTTTCGGCCCAAAAGTGAGCAGTGACGAAGCGGTGACAAACGGTGACAAGCTCCGCGGGATGGAATTTGCCTGCTTTTCCGGGCTGAAAACGGAATCCAGAGCAAAGTGAGCGTCTGGAGCCTGTTTTCTGCAGAAACCCAGCGAATCTAGAGGCTCAGGCACCCCACTTGCCGTCTGACACGAAAAAACGAACTTTTCGGAGTTGGCCGTTTTGAGCGCGCTTTTTGCACCAAAAACGGAGCGGTGACAAAGACCGGTGACATCGGAAAAACGTTCAGCTGGATGGAGAATTCGGCTGTTTTGCAGGGTTTTGGGACCAAAAATCCCAAATTATTTGGGTGGTATAGGCCTTCTTTCCTTACTACTGTGGTTCCGCAAGACCTACCCAGCTACAGCCGTGCTGCTGAAGCGCTACCGAGAACTGGAGGAGGCGCGGGCCTTCAACAACTCGCTGGGCGAGCGCAGGCAGGCGCAAGGGGCGACGGCACCTGGACGACGTGAGCCGGCTGACGGAGGCCGTGCGCCGCCAGGTAGCCCAGCTGCGCAGGCGCGCGCCAAGCGCCGGACCGTGGAACGGGGGGGGACGAAGTTGCGCAACGGTAAAGAGATGAAGACGCTTCAGGCCCGGCTTCAACCAGCGCCCGCGCTTCGAGCAGGTGGTGGGCTTCCTTGAGCGGAATGAGCCGCTGCGCCTACCAGCCGACCGCAAGGCCACCTCGTTCGTCACAAGCCACTTCTACCAGGACGACTTTGTGCAGTCCAGCGAGGACCCCAACCCCCGGCCTCTGCAGCACACCTTCAAGGGGGCTGCAGCCCTCCCTTAGTACTGACTTGCCCAACGGGCCCTTAGTACTGGTTCGCCCAACCTTGTTTGATACTTGCCAACGGATGCTCTCCGTTTTGGGGGCTTTAACCCTCGGATCTCTCTTTTAGGCAGACCGCATCCAGTCGAAGGCTGAGAGGGCTGAGACAGCTGGGACAGGGGTGAGACAACTGAGACATTTGAGACACCTAAACCACGAACAGAAGTGTCTCAAACGTGTCTTAGACCTGTCCCAGCAATGACAAGGCAGCCAGCCAAAGATTGAGACACCTGAGACACTCCTGTTCCTGGTTTGTCAATCTTAGGCTGGCTGTCTTGTTATTGCTGAGACAGGTCAGACACGTTTGAGACACTTCTGTTTGTGGTTTAGTGGGTGTCTCAGGTGTCTCAGGCGTCTCACCCCTGTCTCAGGATTGTCTCAGCTGTCCCATGCACGACTGGGCGGCAATCGAGGCTTGCATGGACGCGAGCGGGCCGGGCATTTTGATGTCCTCTTTGAGTGGAGGCTTGGGGGAATAGTTGTCCTGTTTGAGCGAGAAGTGCAATCGGAGCTTGGCAAGTTTGATATGACACTGTCCGCAGAAGCAATTCGACACACTCGAGACAATTCGAACTCATCGTAGTCAATCGATATCCCGACAGTACCCGGCATCATGGAACATCTGAACGAACGCGAACATGGAGGGAGAGATCGTGGAGGGGGAGATTGCGGAGGCCATGGAGGGGGAGATTGCGGAGGCCATGGAGGGGGAGATCGGCCTGGCGCACGGCGGAGAGCGCCGTGGAAATCGAGTCGCAGTGGAAGCCGACGCATGTAGGACTCATCTCTGTGTACACAGCTCCGACTGGGAGTTGGATGACGAGGGGGCCCGGCGTCTCCTGAACTTCGAGGGCGTGGTCTTGAACAGCAAGACGTGCGGCCTACCGTGAGGATCACCCGCTCCACTGGGCGGTCGCATTCCTGGCCCGCTTGGTGGGAGACTCCGGTCATGGAGAAGTTTGAGCGGGCGCTGGAGGAAGTCCGCCGGCAACAGAACTTGCTCTGGAAGTCCGTGGACGGGTACGACCTGGGTGCCGACATCCACTTGAAGCTCGACGAGCTTTGTGACCTCATCCCGGAACTGGGGGTACTGCACGCGTGGACCCAGGACGACTGGGCGTCGACGATGTACGAACTCATGCTCCTGGCCAAGGCTGAAGGAGGCCGCAGCACTGTGGACGAACGGTGTGAGCCGGAACGGCAAGGACACTCTGTGCAATCTGATGGGCTCCATCCTGGGCTCGTATGCGGTGACCATCGATGCCTCCACGTTCTCCAAGATTCGCGACCCCAACGCACCCTCCCCCGTCTATGCGCTTTGCCGCGCCACAAGGTTTGTGAGCATCCGGGAAATGGACGGGAGTGAGACGATGCGGCTCCAGGTGTACAAGAAGTTCACCGACCCGATCTCCGAGCTGTCTGGGCGCGACCTGTACGAGAAGATCGTGAGGTGCAACGCCGCTCTTGTCCGACTACGCCGTGCGACAGAGGACTGCCATCGTGGAGCGCATCTCGGTGTTCACGGCAAGTCGATCAAGATCGCCTTCAGAGTCAGAAACACGGACGCCACCAACCCGCTGGCGCCGGCCACTCCGAACCCCGCCTGTTTCATCCAGAGGATCCAGATCTTCGCCAACGGCCAGCGCTGCGACGACATTAACTACTACGGCCGCACCGTGGCCGTGCACGACCTGCTGAAGGGCCGCGAGTACAACCAGAACAAGGCCGTGGAGGGCTTCGACGAGGTGAACAACTCCCGGACGCCCCGCGCGGTGCACCAGAGCGGCTACGCGGACGTGCTGCTGCGCCCCACCATGGTGGGCATCCTGCGCTGTGGGAAGATGCTGCCGCCGCAGCTGAACCTGGCGATCGAGATCGAATTCGCGGACGCCACGACTGCGCTGTGGTCCGAGAACGCCGGGGCGCACCCGGCGGGAGCCACGCTGAGCACCGACTTCGAGATCCAGAACGTCCGAGTTCTGGCCTCCCAGGTCGTCCTTGGACCCTGCGCTGGTTGAGTCCTTCAACCGCGTGCTCCTCTCTGGAAGGTCGCTCGTGTTCAGCTACCCCACGGTGCACACGCAGCAGTCCACGGCGCCGCCGGGCGTGGCGGAGCACAACGTCACCGTGGCGCGCGCCTTCACGAGGCTGATGGGAGTGTTCGTGACCTTCTGGGACAACGACGCGGGCTCTAAGATCCACTTGCTGGCCAACCCGGGGCAGGACGTGGCCCCCATCGGCGCGGCCAGGCCTTGGAGCACTTCCACTTCCTCTCGGTCCTTGCGGGGACCTACGACGACACGGTGCGCAACATCGACATCGACCGCGCGGGCTACCTGCGCCACAGCTTCATCGCGGGCTTCCCGACCGAGCGTGTGCCCAAGATGCCCCTGAGCGGCGTCAGCGCCCGTTCGGGCGACCTGGCTTGGTTCACTTTCGTGTTCATCCACATGATAGCCTATCAGCTGGTGACGCTCTCTGGCACGGGAGTCTCTGTGCTGGACTAGCAAGGCTCCATAGCTCAATCGGAAGAGGCGCTGCAGCTCTAAAGCTTGGAGGGTGCGGGCTCGATTCCGCCCAGGCGCGGGCGCGGATCATTTTGACTTTTTTCAGGCGAGCGCCTTTGGGAATTCTTTTTCCCTCGGCCCGAGACTGAGCGCCTCTCCTGAGAATAAGAATTCCATCCAGGTCCGAGACGGATGGCGGCTGCGTTGTTGCCGGAGGCTGCCGTGTTCACGGCCAGGTCTGCCACTTGTGCGTAGGGCGGCAGAGCGAGGGCCAGCTGCCCTGCGGTGACGTGCGTGCGTCAGTTACCTCTCCGTTGTCCAGGACCTTCAGGATGTTGCCCGTGACAGGTCCTTCAAACATGTTTTCTTAGGAGTGAGGAAAGTTGCTACGCACTGTAGCGGCCTTGCAATTTCGCAACCCCTTGAGTCGCTTTGGACCAGGAAGAATTGAGGGAAAATATCCTTCAATTCAAGTTCCCGGGTCCAGGTCGTGATACCTGCGCACGACGTCAGGACAGATCGCCGAAAATTTCGTCCACAACGGCCTGATGGGTTTTTCGGGCAAAATCGACGGAGTCAAGACATTCTCGTTGTGGCGCATGGCTACGATGAATTGACCGATGGCGTCGGTCAAATCAAGCTCCCGGGCCCAGGTCGTGATACCCCCTCTGACC